GCAACACATGCCCAAGCCATCGCAGCTGTGACTTCTCAATCTGGAGAAGCAAAGGCTGTACACCAAGGCTATTCCGTATTTCACTATTCCGGACCATGTCGAGACGCGTAAGGCCAGCGACTCGTCTAAGAAAGTCCGTTTCAGCAGCTTGTACCCGGTTTCGAAGTTTTTCTGTGATGGTCCACGATTCATGACAGTAGGTCTAATGTGTAACATGATTTTTTTTAATAGGCCATATTTTGATAACACTTTCAACAACAGTTACATTCTCAAGACTAACTGAAGACTAAGTGGAAGACACGGACTAAAATGTTTAGGCCTACCGGGTTCGAATAAAAGCGCTTCACTGCTTCGGTCCAATCCTCTGCAGATCATATTAGCATGGACGGAAAATAATCGTTTTATTCTTCTGTAAAACGTCTTTTGGACTCTTTTATACTTCTGAGCATCTGGTAAATGAGTAACATTAGAGCGTAATTAGACTTGTAACATTTTCAAGAAATTTCTTTCTCCAGAAATTGGACAGTCTTGGGAAAAGGGATGATTATAAACCATCCGAACGAACAGGTCTTTCCCACTGACAATTTGGTGTTCATTAAACTATTTCATCAGGCGCGTTCAATGAAGCCTAAATGTATGTTCGTTGTGAAAAATGGGCTCGAAGTCATGTGATATATCTAGGAACAATACTGTCTTTCGATTCATTTGGACACCAGCATTTGAAACAGTTGGCTTCGAAGATTCTTCGAGGCCCATGTTTTGGAATGTGATTGGAAAAAGCACTGCAAAGCAATGCTAGATGGTATGAGTATGGCCAATGACATCCTTACGAATGATGTTAACCCACTTCACTCCATCCTTTGATAATGTGTCACGAATTCGTTCAGACAGGACGAAATGTTGCCATGTCCTCCAGCACAAAATTCCATCCATGTTCCTTCGAACCGGAATCAGTTAGAGGTTACAGAGACAACTACTGACCTCGTTCGCCGAGCAGTAATAGTTATGTAGAATTCTGTTTAATTTTTCGTAACGATGATGCCAGTGAGTGAGTTGAAACGCGTTTTGAACAAAATAACTTATCATCGTCCTGAAATTCGTTATTTTGAATGCCCAATTAAAAAAATTGAATAATCGTTGCCTTCTGCTTATGTGTTTAACGTCGACTTCTTAATTTATGACCGTTTAGCATGTACAGTATTATACCTACTTTGCTTTCTATTGATTAATAATAACCTCTGACTCGTTGTAAATCAAGCTGACATATTTTAATTCCTGAAAAATGAACATACTTATGATTCTACTCAAGCAACTGTAAACTAAAACTAAAAATAACTTATTTATCCGCATGGAACAGTACAGGAAATCTTCCGTCGTTCTCTTCATCGCGTGGTCTGACAAGTTACTTTACGGATATACAAGGGCTTTTTACTAATTTTCACTAAACTTTGCTTGAAAGCATAGCTGGTGCTTACTACGTTATAAGCATAAAATTCAATCAATGTTACTTCTATTTAAGACAGAATAAGAAAGCTGGCGAAAGTTCTAACATGCGTAAGAAAAGTTTTAATCTGACGCAACATGAACAGCATATTATGTTTTAGCACTGATCTTAGCTACTAATACAAAACGTTAATCGCTGTTTAAAAATATTTAAGATAGAAATAAGAGTAATGAAGCTTACTCATCATTCGTACGTGGAAGAGAACGGTAATAACCGGACTACGCTCCATCTAAAATAGATTTAAACATCTCTGGAGAAAGGGATGAATGCAAAACATACGTAATCAACTCTGTCTTCGGAAAGCCAGTGAAAACATTTTAGAAATAACAGTTGGGTAAACTGGGAAACGAAACGGGGACTAAAGTCATCTCGGAAGAGCGTGAATGCCAGGCACATCTCCGTTACGGCATACCATGCACGTTCCGTCAGGTGCTGAACGAAAAAGAAAGAACTTTACAAGAATAGCAGCATATTTTACGATTTTCAAAATTTCATTGCAGAGGATTGGTCAGATTCAGAATTTTTGCAAGTATATAAGATGACGCATATGGTATCAGAGGAAAGCAGCATACCTCGCTCTCAGATGACCGCAAATGACCGAACAGTAAGACAACGATAAGGCGCCCCAAAAGCATTACCAGCACGAAAAATTGAACATAAAATACCTAAAGAAAAGGTAACAGGGAAAGAAGTAAAACGGGAAAGTTCAATGTCATACAGCCATGATCGCGTTCGACTTTGTCATGTAGACGACAGAAGGGTAAAACTGCCTCTTCAGGTGGTAGGCATACAGGATAACGCTTGCACTTAGCAGAAAGCTAGCGACGCTTACGTATTGAGTCCGCAGACGCATGTTTTCCGCAAAATTTCACTAAATTTCACAAGCTACGATACAAAACCTCTACCTAATACTGATTCGACGTAGACACTATCAAATGATTGTCAGGTAAGTTGATTGTACGGTACCTCTGGCTCCTGCGTTATACAATGTAACTATCCACGGAGACAAAATTACAGATGTTTTGGAGTTTCTGGCAGTATTAGTCTAGATGGTCTGTGATTAAATGACAGACAATTCCTATCCTCGCCGCCGAAGAATTGAACGCGCAGACGCTACTGATGGTCAGTTAATAGCAGATCCGTTGCCTCTTTCACGGACTCTTTTCAATTCTTCCGATAAGGTACTACATTTTAAACTAATGAGATGCATATCATCTCTGTCAATCGCTTTAAAACCACATTGCTTTAAAGTGTATGTATATGAACAGTTTGTTCTGTTGCAATTTATTTTGATTCAAAGTGCTTATGGCAACACCGTTTGCAGCTGCTGTTCGTCAGGTTACCTCAAAAGGGATGTGGGCGACGGTTTGTATTTTTTAACAACGATTTTCGCGTTGGGTACAAACGGCTGAAATCGGTTTTCTGGGCGAATCGCTGGGCTCAGGCATCTTGAGTTCGTCCTTAGTATAGATATCTGAGGGAATCTTAGTGGACAGCTGCTGCTTCTCCTGATTGAGAGATTGAGCTAAGATGGGGGAGATGGTTGGGGCAGGTGTTGTGAATCCCTCCATTTTTCAGCTGATAGGCTGAAGACCCCTGGGAGGCAAAGAATGACTTGAAGCTAGTGTCTCGAAGGGTTCTGCTCCAGACTCGGGTTATTTTATTTTGATGTGCGGCATATTGCCACCGTGTTTAAAGGGTCTATTTCCAACTGCGGAGGTTATGAGTTCGAGTCTACTCAAGGGCAATTTTGCCTTATTTGCGAATTCCACTGAGCAAGGAATTTACCACACATTGCATCAGAATCGGATTGCTCAGTCAGTAGATCGTCGAACTCAGAACCGATCTGTGTCAGGTTCTATTCTTGCCGGGGCCTCACTCCTTCCTTCGTTCCAAGGTTTATAAATAATCACCATTCTATGGAAAATAAATAGGAGAATACAAGCTACGTTTGCCTCATGACTATGGACTCTCCCTTTAAAATAAAGCACTCCTGATTATGGAATAGAAACGTAGATCGATACTTCATCATCAACTTCATGAAGGGAAAGCCTCCAAAACGGCTAAATCATGAGAGTGGAGGATGACCCAAATTTCTATGGTATCAGACTTTCTTCTGCTTTTATATCGGAACTCAAGCGTTGGCACAGAACCACCAACGTTTTAGACACCGTCTGACGCGTCTGCCTCCGTGAACCGAAAGGATGCGCACTAATCGAAGCTGAAACACAATTCTCACACTCTGTTCTACAGTCTGAAACTGCATTTAGTACTCTCTCCTTCAGTTGACCAAACACAGTTTCATTGGGTTCGTCGAACTTCGTTCAGTTTAACTGCTCAAAGAAAGTGTTCATAGCAGACAGTCTGCTGTGTGCACAAAGCTGCAACAACTTCATGTAGTTATTGTTGCGATCGCTGGTACCGGTCTTTCAAATCACGCCTTTCCATTATTCAGCGTGTGCTCTGAAATGCACATTGACTCCCATCAAAATGTGCAATCCATATGTCTGTGGGAGGGCAACACAAAACGTGGAAAAAGTCCTGCTTGCAGAGAGTAATGCAATTTTTGCGAACCAATCAACTTTGTTTGATGTCAACCTGATGTATTATTTCTAACTGTCAGATGTCATAAATCTGGTTTACTCTGCTGTTTAAACTCTGTTGACCTCGCGGGATAGTGGCAAAACAACAACAATTCCATTTATGGCACCCTCCGTTTATGCACATCTGCGTTTCTTTGTCGTCATCTAGAAGTAGATTATTGAATGTGCCACTGAATGTGTAATCTCATGCCTCGTAAGCACATGATGTATTCAGTTTCTAACTGTAAAAGACGACAGGTGAATTACACTAGACTGAGGCCCATTTCAGAGCATCTGGATTGTGAGTCCGACGTGCTACTGTCCATGCATTCCCACGTGCAGCCAGTCAAGAATCTGGAAACGTAAAATTACTTTGATTTTAATAGGAGGTATTTTATGACCTGTGTAATTAACATATCATGTTTCCCGTTGATTGAGACTGATTTTGAACAAAAATAAATCTTATTATGGGTTTGCTCGCATATTGCTAACTTTCAATACCGACGTTAAAAAGAACATTCTGCTGTCAATCCTTCAGATCAACGCGCCGAAGCATTGTCCCCTTGTTTCTAACAGGCTAGAAAAATTGCCAAGAGAAAGTTAGTTTTACTGGCGGTATTGAAAGCTAGCAGTTTGCTGTAGATTCATATTAACCGGTTTTATTTTTGCTCTATATGCCAACGGACAGGTATATTCGTTGGTACTCAAACGTTTTTTTACAACTCATTAAAATTGTACTGCTTTGCACCCATACGCTGTAAGTGTAAGGCACCATGGAGCTCTGGTTAAATTCTGGCCTAATCTACCGGAAGCAAGTGGACGATGCTTCGTCATGTAACATGTAACAGAGGATTGACAGGAAAAACTGATTTTTTTAATATTACGTTTTATTTTTCTTTTAATTAACGAATGCGTTTACAATTTGAATATATAGGGCGAGGTTATCTGTGGAAACGAAAATAACCCTTTGCTGATCAACTCTGAATTTACGTACGTCATTATGCCGGCTCAAGACCGAACGCAAGAGTTTACAATTACAGCCAAATCCGCTCAAATGAAGCTGGTGCAAGAATTGTAGTTTGTTTTTGTTTTTTTTAACTGAAGCGTTTCCAGCAGGCAAATGGCTTCGTCCATCATCGCAATGTTGATGTCGAAGATGCTGGTCCGTCGAATTTCTCGAAAATTGCCAAGTGAGTTCACTAATTCAGCTTCATTGCTTGCGTTTTTTGTCTTTAAAACTTATCCTCAGCAGCCAGACATCTTAAAAGTCGCTGATTGCTGAAACAAACATGATTTGTGATTTTGCATTTTGCAGGACTATTGGACATGACCTTTGTCAGACGTGTGTGAAGTTGGAAAAGTTGACCTTGCGTAAGCAGATCCTTTACTTCCGTACCTCTTGAACATTTTGTGTTTTTCACCGAGACTTCATCTGTTTCATTAGCTGCTTTTCCTCTAAGCTTTTTTCGCATTGTTTCGGTAATGCAATGAAATGAACGACTTATTTTGAGGGCGTTGTGCAGTGCAATATTTCGACTATAGCTATATTAGTTTTTTCAAGTTTTTCTAACACTGTTTCAGTGACAGTAACATTTCATGAATTATAAGCTCAGGTTACTTATTATTATCGATATTTCAAAATGGGTGTTCAGCTGTTAGAAATGTTTTATTGCTCACTTTAGTGTTATAATCTAAGGGAGCAACTAGCTTTACATAAGGAGCTTCTTAGATTAATGCTGCAATTTCCGGTGACTGAACTTTCGACGTTACTGTTTATTTTGCGTGATTTCTGAACAGAATGCTTAACGATGGAGAAAAAATTCTCCGCCTTTCTTTATGCTTCTGTCAAACATGGGGGCAGTCCTGGCATTTTATAAACCTCTGTTTCTCATTCAGATCAGATAGCATCTTAAAATCTTTGTTACAAAGTAGTCTTGCTATTTCTTATAGACTGTTTAATTTTCGTTAAGAAATGGCGAAATGACTGAACTGTAAGATTAAATAGTGTGTAATTTTTTACTCTAGGATGTGATAAACAAAATTCAGTGCGAAATCAGTGCAGTTACTCGTTACTCTACATATATTTTGGTATAACAAATATCCAACAATTCTGTTGCTGATTTCAATCCCTTTTTAGCATATTATAACCGATTATTGCTTTTTGCCTATCGTAACAAGGTTGGCATATGTCAGGTGTAATAGATGGCTTCAGATGAATGAGACTTTCGTAAGATGAAGGAAGTGATGTATTTCCAACTGCCTTATTAGTTATTTGTTTATTAATTCTCTTTCTTTTGGGAGTCAGTTAAATGCCAATCTTAGTTTACTCCAGTGTTTCTCCTCATGATAACATACGGCCTAGAGTATAATTTAAGAAAACGTTCTCTTCTGAAATAAATGATTTTCGTCTGTTGAACGTCTTTCCTCCTGCTTTTTAGCCGCTACTGATTGTCTTGTTACAAATTCTTTTTATGCGAGTAATTCTGCCGGTATGCACGGTATCCTGACGCAGCCTCGTTGCTCATAGGTAACTAAGGGTCTGTTAAGGAGATCACAGCTACATACTTACAGCCGTGGAACATCGTTGCATCTCGAATCATGCTGGATCAGAACCTTAATCATTACCAGTTATTTGGAGTCCAGTTGTTCCGATACTTCTACTGTTGCATATCTTTGATTCTGTTCTGTTAATGCAGTTCTCATTCATCCATCCATTGAGAATTTTCATTTTCGTTAAAACAGGCTTGTTTAAACTTTCAGAAATATTCGAATATTATAATAACAGCAACAGGTGTAAATGTCATTTTCCGTTTACGAGAATCATAGCATTATTATGCCTTTGTGCTAAATGATGCGCCATCTTACTG